CTCATCAACCGTGTGAAGCCATCAGTGAGGACCATCAAAGTGTGGTTTTGTTCACAAGATATTAATTGACTCTCGTTCTGACGGCACCCGTTCACTGCAGATAATCAACTGGTGAGCAAGGGATGCTAAATTTCTCCAAATCCATTTTGATGAAGAAACAAGCTCCGTCTCATCTATTAAGTGCACTAAATGAAGTCCTGCACACGTCACCAGAGACATGACATAGTCAGTCCAGTTAAGACATTTTGATTAAACATTTTGAAGTCTAAACATGCACAGATGAATTGTTCTACAACATGCATTTAGTGTCGTTTTTATTTCATGCCTATATTCACAAGGTGTTCAAGGCTCATGATTCGGGAGTGCCCATACTTCCAGGACGACATGTGCCTCCAAGCACCCTGCCTAGTGATGAATGGAAAGTTCTCTCCAGGCATTTCAGACCTCCTCGCAGGTGGTATTAGGAGGAGTAGATGCACTCAATCTAGGGAGAGTTTTATAGGACACAACTTTGGAGAAGCCTGTGAGTGGAAAATGAGTTGTCCTGTTTCTTGGAAGAGAAAGGAGAACAGCAGGATATTTTAAATATTGTGTAAGTGTTTTTGTTTTGCTAAGGGTTACACTAGTATGGATCAGTCAAAGTGAAGAAGCCTAAAGCCACAAAACACCAAAATGCATTGTTTGGAATTGCCAAAAGTGCATCCAAGAACGTTTCAGGATGTAAAAGTAGAAGAGAAACACACAAAGAAAAGCAAGCGCAGCAGAAAACGCACGAATGCACCGCAGAAGAAGTCATAACTGCCGTCAGTCAGGGGCCGCTCATCACTGCGGCGCGTCGCGTCTCGCCACCAGCGCTGCGTTTTAAGCACGACGCGTCCCTTTCCGTTGCGCTTTTTTAATGTATTTTATGGACGACCGCTTACGACTTGTAGTTTTATAACTCGAGGGTTTCGATGGATAGTATCACATCATGCGTGACGACCCTGAGCCGCCTTGACGCGTGTCTAGAGTTTGCGCGTCTGAAATGATCGTTCTGATGAAACTCCAGCATACCTCAAGTCTCCAGACAGGCAAAGCCGTGACTTCATGCATCAAGAGCCCAAACCCCGCCGCCGCGAGCAGAAGCAGTCCTGCGAAGTATTCTTCTTTCCGCAGACTGCCATAAACTCCACGCACCATCTTTGCGACGTCGCCGTCCAAATGTTTCCCCCTAACAAAGACGTGTCAGACCTCACCATTTATTCCCCGCGGGTGACTGGGCTTGCCATTGGGTTCCTGCAGCTCTGAGAGCGGTCAGTGCGCCAGACTGCAGCTCAGCTGAAGCACACACTGCAATGCAATCAATGCAGCTTTCACCACACTTGCTGTTTCGTTGTCATTTTTGGGGGATTAATCATCTTTCAAAAGACATCTGCTTTTGATTCGGCCTCCTGAATGCAGCATGCTTGCGTTTAAATACAAAAGTAGCCCAAATATTCCTTTTTTGAACCTCCAGGTTACTCGGAAATGTAGCCTAATAGGTTACAGGTTACAAGTTACCCTATTTAAAATGTAATAAGTATAGTGTAACTATTTCAATCACTTCATTAAAGTAATGTAACTGATTACTTTTCTAAATATCTAATGTTTTCAACTGTTAATCATTTTCAAACATGTAAAGCAGGCACCCTTACGCTCAGAATCCTTCATCAACTGAAATAAGATTTTTATCATTTAAGCACAGCCACCACAAAATATTACTTTGAGATCATTCTGAGGTTAAATACAGATTTAAAACCGTAACGATACTGTTTTGAAATCAAATCTTCGCACAGCTATGACAGGAAACACTGGCATCTAACAATGCTTTTGAAAAAAGTTCATCTTCAATAATCAATATACATAAACCCAAATAGGAAATAAAACAGTTATCGAATAAGCACGTGTCCTAAACTCCTGAAACACTGGCGTCTCATATTTTAGAGCAGTCACTGCAATTCATGAAAGAAATCAGACAAATCTGTATGTGGGTGTATGTGAAAACCCCCTTTGTAATCGTTACCATTTGCTTAAGAAACTGTAACTGATTACAATAACATTTATTTTGTGATTAAATTATGTAATTCCGTTACATGTAACTAGTTACTCCCCAACACTGAATATACCACAAAATGCTGAGCTCCGCATTGGTTTAATTTGTACCAAAGTTGTTGTTTTTTAAAACTTTAAGTTAACAAATGTAAATTGGACTTTTAACATTTACACACAATGTATTTCAACGAATCAGGTCACATGAACCCTGAGTCACCAGAAAAGTTAAATAACCATAAAACAACCTTAAAGTCACCATGAAATCAAAATTGAAAATTCTTATTTTTTATTGGAATACTGTAGTGTTTATTATAAATAATTTATCCATGCACTTCTTTTTTTTTTTTTAATTCATGTGCCCTCGTAATCTTTAATCAAAAACGTTAACCTCCCCTCCTCCTCAAAACGACTCCTCTTCCGGTCACGAGCTACGGCGCTAGGGCGGAGCTAGTGACGTGAGGGGTAAACGCTGGGATAAACGACGGGGAAAAGCTGAAGCTAGCTGATGCTTCACTTTATTATAGTACTGACACCAGTCACGAGGGAGTACGTTACCCTTAAACATTGAAAAGACATTAGGATATTACGACAATATTACTCTTAGGACATCGCAAACTAATTTTTTTCATGAGTATGACAACCTGATGGAGGACGCGCTCAGTCATTCAGGCAGTCATTCAGAGAGAAATCCCCCACCACTAACTGCAAACTGGCATTCAGATCTGCCTCCATTTTGTTGCCAACGCCCCACCTTCCAACGATCCAATCAATTCCCGAAGGACGAAATCAAGTCCCGCCCTCTCATTTCAGTTGCCGTTTCACTCGGATATATGTAACAGTAGAGAAGAAAAGACAATCGCAACTTCCGTTTCATGCCGACTTTAAAATAACCATTTTATTCTTAGTGTTAGGAATATTTTAATAATCTGAAGAAACATTTCCACTAACAAACCTTTTGTCCAATAGAATGGTTCCATGGATGTTAAAGGTTCTTCATGGAATTATGGTTACCAATAAAGAAGCTTTATTTGTGCAAATGATTGTGCAAACATTTTTTCACCGGACAAATGTTTAACTAATGTAGAACAATCTAAATCATTGATTACAGACGTTTCCTTAAAAGGTTTTGGTGGTATTTCACATGTTCTTCCAGGCATACATTAGCCAAATTTCTTGCCTATCTCAATCTGTTTCAGTTTCGATAACTATGACCATCAGTGGGCCAAAGTAATGCTGGTGAAACACAAAAACAATTAATCAGAAATACGTCTGTACAGGTGTACACTCCGTCAATGTACACTCCGTCAACATGATGAACTGTGGAGTAGATGAATGTTAAATGTGGTAAGGTCTGTGCTAGTGTCACAATCTCTAGCTGGAGTGCCCGCGAGCTCTGTTAGAGGGCACCCCATCCTGTATCTTTTACCATTCGCCCCGGACTCCATTTCCCATAATCCTTTGCCCGGACTCACCATCAGTTGCAATCTCCTGTCTCTTATCACCTCGTCAGTCTCAAACCATAAGAATAGCACACACACATGCACACATGCACACATCGCTGGTGATTGAATGTTGTATAGCTCTTCCGTGGTTCCTAAGTTTCTGTGTTTCCTTGCCTGCGTGTTTTGATCCCTGGAATGTTTCATGTTTATGATTGTTTGCTGCCTGCCCTGACCATTGCCTGACTTGTGGATTACTCTTTTGCCTTTGCCTTCTAAACTTATCCTTTCCAATCATCCTACTACCTGTCTGTTTGATCCTATCCCCACTCACCTCCTTCAGGCAATTTCTTCTTCAGTTATACCCGCGCTCACTCACATTATCAACACCTCTCTTCGCTCTGGTACATTTTCTAAAGCATTCAAGTAGGCTCGGGTAACCCCACTGCTTAAGAAACCCTCTCTAAATCCAGTACTTTTAGAAAACTACAGACCGGTATACCTTCTTCCGTTCATTGCAAAGACACTTGAGTGAGTTTTGTTCAACCAACTCTTTATGATTCTTGCACAGAACAACCTCATGGACAGCAACCAATCTGGCTTCAAAAGCAGCCACTCAACTGAGACTGCACTGCTTTCGTTTACTGAAGCCCTGAATCTGGCAAAAGCAGCTTCCAAATCCTCAGTACTCATCTTGCTGGGTATGTCTGCTGCTTTTGACACCGTTAATCACCAGATCGTCCTGTCCACTAGGGCTGGGTATCGATTCAGATGTCCCGATTCGCAAGCTCTCGATTCGATTCGATTCTCGACTTTTTTGATTACATTCAGTGAATATAGTTTTAATACAAATGCTATTGATATTTCTAAAAAATGAACAGGAAACATCAGTTTACAAATGGTGAATTAATAAAAAGAAATTAAGAACCACATGCCTGTATTTTAAACCTATTCTTTTTTTTGTATAGGGTCCTTTTTTTAAAAATAATAGGGCCCTATAAAATGTTCTTAATTTTTCTGGTAATCAGATGAAGGCATAAAACATTAAATTAATTTATCCTAATCAAATTAAAATAAACCCTTTTATTTTTTGGCAAACAGAGTGCTGCACAACAGAGGTTTAGTGTTAAAATTAAAAAGAAAACAGATGTGATTATTCCTTTAAAAATTAAGATTTATTAATATTTATAGCAGTAGTAGTATTGAGTCTTAAGACTGCTAAATAGTAATATATTCTGACAGTAGAACG